ACTTCCTATCCTGAGATGTCAATTTAAATGTTTAAAAATGGAGCAAAGGAATTCCACCCTATATTCTTAGGAATATTAGTCTAAATATTTGGACTTTTACAAAACAGACAAGAAGGATATAGCTTATTTATATCCAAGTTTAAACTGTTATTAAAAACCCACATATACATTATAACCAAATACCATGCCAAAACATCACAATGCTGTTGATATGTTGGATTATTCCTTCTTTCTTCACATCATAGATTAGCAATTATTTTTAACTAATAAATTAAAACTAACTAGGCAAGCTGGAAACAATAGAAGCTGAGTTGAATGCAGCAGGCTGTTAAAACACCAGGTGTCTTTCCTATGATGACTGAATTAGCTACAGGTGTTCAAATCAGTATTTTAGGTAAATGGCCTTTCTCTGGTAAAATATGCTTCACATCATTCATTGTTTGTGGAGAACAATGTCATGTGAAAGATTTTTATGCTTTACAGGATATTATCCTCAGAAATGCTATTGAAGATTAGGAATGAGCAGTTCCTACTTCTAAATAGCCTTAGTAAGTGTGGTCTTGGCTAGAAGAATTGCTTCCCTTTTCTTATTCACAGTTTCAGAAAGGCAAACGTAATGAAAAATACTGATGAAGTGGTGAAGTTTGGGTTCAAATTCTGTATTTTTTATATTTTTTTTTTTATCATACAGATTCCTAGGGTACCTTACCCCATTCTATGTTAATTAAAAATGCTGCTTTTCACTTACGAAAACTAAGCTGCTATGGAGCAGAAAATGAAGGTCGTTGTATAGATAAACAACTACCTAAAAGGTAGGGACAGCAAGTAAGAGTGAAGAGCTGATCTCCAGAGTGGAGGGGGTGCTGCTTGAGGTACCCCAACAGATCTGTCCTGGGGGCCATCCTCATTTCATACATTTGTTGCTCGTCTGGAATAAAGGGTGAAGTAACAAAATCATCTGACGATATTATGGACACTTTAATAATTGATTTCACTCCCTCCTCCACTTGGTACCTTTGTGCCTCAGGCATCCACAGTGCAGAGTTAGCTATCAGCTAAACTAAGGCAAACCAACTGTTCTGGGGGCTTTTCCCCAGATGAAAACTGGTCAACATTTTCAGGTTAGTTCACTGAAGGCATGGCTCCCCAGGGGTGGTGTAGACAGCGCTATGGCCAGAATATAGGAGAAACGAGGAACTCAGTGACCCACCGAAAGTCTGAAAGTAATTTAAAGGTGATTAATCTGGCAGGGAAAGCTTCAGAGGCCCTAGCTATGGCCTGCCTCCACTTACAGTGCAATACCACAGCGCTGAACAGCAGAGGGCTCAGATTTGGTGGTGGATGATTGCTATCCCTGCATTGCTCAGACTTCATTGCTGCAGTGATGGCCAAGCTGTACCCATTCTGAGTTTTTTATCTGAAGCACAAAGATCCTAAACTCTGTACTCACTATTTCCACCTACCTACACACCGGAGAGGTTCAAATTAGAAATGTGCAGTTTATTGCCAGTGATCAATATGTCATCATGCATTTCGATGACTGAAATTCTTTCCTGTTAGGGTGGTGAGGCACTGGAATGGGTTGCCCAGGGAGGCTGTGAATGCTCCATCCCTGGCAGTGTTCAAGGCCAGGTTGGACAGAGCCTTGGGTGACATGGTTTAGTGTGAGGTGTCCCTGCCCATGGCAGGGGGGTTGGAACTTGATGATCTTAAGGTCCTTTCCAACTCTAACTATTCTATGATTCTGTGATTCTAAGTACATGGGCAAAAAGGAGGAACCATATTATTTCCCCTTTGAACCTAGTACCTGGACGTAGGCCTAATTCGCTCAGCTTTACACAGGTATAGGTCGGTGCCTGTATACCGAACTGCAGAGCATGCTCTGATACAAAGGCATTGGCTGTAACCCTGCATCACACACATCTGTACACCAAGGGCATCCTCTCACCTACTTGCAGCCTGGTACCCTGGTTTCTGTCCCACATACTGTCCCATCTTCCAACAGAAGGCAGGAGAAGCCACAGCCCTAGCCTAAACCTAAACCCGCACTAGTTCCCCTGGTACCTGGGGTAACTGCCCCCCAGAGCCGTACATCCCAACACCAGCTCAGCAAGGGGTCTGGCCTGTGCCCGACACCTGCTGTGACATGCGGCCACTGTTCCCTGCTAGGCCAGCTGTGCCATGTGGGCAGCAGAAGGCATGGCCAACCCTCCCTCATCCCCTGCCACCACTGCTGCAGTGTTCTCCTCAGCTGCCGTGTTAGCCCGGCATTCATCAATAGTGGCCACTTTGTATTCCTTACAAACACACTATATTCATAACTATTTAATTCTATTAAATCAGCATCGTCTACTCAAGGAATTTCATCTACTAATGTAACACCATACAAATGCTTGTATTTTTGTGTTTTCCCCTTGTCCTGGGTTCAGCAGTAGCAGTCATTTTTCTCCTTCCTAGTAGCTGGTGCAGTGCTGTGTTTTTGAGTTCAGTCTGAGAACAACACTGATAACACCAATGTTATAGTTGTTGCTGAGTAAGGTTTACCCCGATCAAGGACTTTCTCAGTCTCATGCTCTGCCTGTGAGGAGAGGCATAAGAAGCTGGGTGGAAGCAGAGACAGGACACCTGACCCAAACTAGCCAAAGGGGTATTCCATACCACAGCACACCCAGTATATAAACTGGGGGGAGCTAGCCAGGACAGGCTGATCAGTGCTCAGGTCAGAGTGGGTATCAGTCAGTGGGTGGTGAGCAGTTGTATTGTGCATCACTTGTGTTTATTGTTGGTGGTTTTTTTTTTCTTTTCCCCTTTTAATTTCATATTCTCTCCTTGTTATTTCCCTTATCATCATTATTATTGGTGGTAGCAGTAGTGGTTTTATGTTATACCTTAGTTACTGGACTATTCTTATCTCAATCCATGGTGTTTACATTCTTTCCATTCTCCTCCCCATCCTGCCAGGAGGGGAGAGGGAAGGGAGGAGTGAGCGAACAACTGTGCGGTTCTGAGTTACTGGCTGGGCTTAAATCACAACAACCCCTAGCATATAATTCCTAGGACACATCAGTTACTTGGAAAGGAGAAAATCCTTAGCGACTGGCCAAAACAAACATACATAGTCTTCGGTTGCAGTACTCATTCCCCGAAGGAAGAAGAAGGATTATCCCAGGAAGGCACTGTAAACGAGGGAGTGCCTTCTAGTGAATAACAACATTTGTATACTGAAAGCAATACCTTTTCATGACTATTTCAAAGTCTACATGAAGTTTTCATGATTTTGAGCTGAAAATATTTTTTTTTGTATATCAGAAAAATCAGGTGCACCTTATAAAGCATCTTGGAGTCATTCATATGCTTGGGACACTTTTTGTATTCCTTCTTTAAGGTTTTTGACAACAGCCTTAATAATACCTTAATTAATTGCAAGCCTGTCAATAAGAAATGACTGTGCACACAAGTGAAATTGAGAGGGCAAATTGTTACGAAAGCACAGCAAGATATTTAAAAAGAGATGTCCAGAAGACTGCTGGATCCAGAAGATTAGACAGGGGACAGAGTCAAATTTGGAAACCTTCGGTAACACAAAATAACAGAAGTCAGTGAGCTTGCCCAGTGTTTACAGGCGTAAAGAAAGATGAACATAGAAAAATGCAAAAGTTAGGGATCACGTTCGCTGCACATCAGCAATACTAGCAGTGATGAAGATAGTTAAGAGCACATAATAGAAATAATGTTCTCCAGGGCATGTGAAAGAGGCAAATAAATCACTGATCTAATTTACATTGAAAAGTCATGTATTTAGGGTCTACTGCAGGAGACCGTAACTATTGTGCTCATTGCAATGCAGGTTTCCTTTGGCATTACATACAGAGCTGAGATGTTCTGAATGGAGGTTTTTACCTGCTGTAAACATGAGGATATCCAGGATGTACAGCAGTGTCAAAATATAGTGATGCCCCTGTAGTCCAGGTCTAATGCTCAAGAAGGCTTAGTTCTTCCTCCTCATGAAGCAGACAAAGCTCCCTGTGGAGAACAGCTACTTAGCAAATATCCTGAGAAACAAAGGGGAAAAGTATGTCCTTGTACAGACATGCAGTGTAAAAACCATAGGTGCTTTCATGCACTCGCTTGAGGGAGGCAGATATTGTGAGGCAGATGCAGACATCCACAGGCCCTGTCACTCACTGGCTCTGCAAAGCCTGCACAGCATATGGGTATATTTTACTGGCATATCCAATCCAGAGTGACCATGTGAATAACCTGGAATTAATGTGTAGCGCTCTCAGGCTGAGATACCCACTGCATGGCTACATATGTTTGTGATAAAATCTTTGTACGCTTCCTATAGTCTTCAGTCCTGAAGAACAAATGCTTCCTCCTAATCAAGTTTAGATTCAGTTTGAACACCCCATCAAATGACACTGAAATTCTTCAAGCTTTTACTTCAGATTCCGTTGGAAGGCATAAGTATTTCACAGCATGTTACAGTTCCTGATGTGTAACACAGCAGAAGAAAGAAAAAGGGCTTTCCCAGGAACTCCAGCATCCTTTTTAGTTACCTAGACAGGCAATATCCCAGGTAATGTTGAAATGGTCATGTCAGGCTGTTCCAGCAGAACTGCTCATCAGCCACAAGCTTCATCTTTAACACATTGTGTTTAATGAATGTGCTGAGAACTGTTGATCATAATTGCTGGCATGTATTCCCCACACAGCTAGGGAAAAGACGAAAGAAAAGGAAACTGAAGGCAGATAATCTGAAGTACTGCTGAGATCTTGAGTCCTCCTTGTGTATATGAGCATGCAAATTAAGTCTGCCTTCCCAGAAAAGCGTCCATATCACTGCCGGAAAAACTGAGCACAGAGAGTTGCCTTCAGCTGGCCCAGATTAGGCATGCGTTTACAGAAGGAGAACCCTGAATATTTATACATAGCACGAGTTAGTAAACATTTGAACAAGTCAGTTACTGTGGGAAAAAGTCCTATAAATTTCACCAGGCTCTGGAATAAGTGCTATTTATTCATTGTTAAAAGCTCACACTGTCTGCAGCTGTTCTGACAGATTTTATTAGGGGACAACTCTGTGAGACTGGAGAATCGATACCGAAATCATTTGCTCTAAAATAAGGAAACTTGAATGTGAAACTTCACACTTTTTTTAATGCCCGTTCCTTATTTTATCAGGTGCACTTTTTCATTTTCTACTTCAGACGTACAGTATGCCGTCAGAAAGATCACGCTTGAAGTTCAAGTGGAAAAACACAAGCACACTCTTACTTAAGCACTTAAGAATGTGTCTTTCCTCTTCATGGTCTCTTTCCTTTCTCTGCCAAATATCGATTAGCAAATATCGATTGCTAAAAACCTGGTAAAAATGTGCAACCTGATAGACCATCACGCTTATGGTCATTTCCAATCTGAGTTACCAAGAAAAAGTGTTTTCAAATCTTGTTATGCTTTAGCTGAATAGGATTCCTATAGAAACACATGCTTCGTATATATTTTTCCAGTCCCATGCACACATATATTTAGTTCAAGAATTTCCACGCGTCTCAAGCAGAATTCTCTGGCAAAATGCCCTCCGAGGGAGGAATCAACAATTCCTGGTTTCCAAAGCCTCTGTTACTGACTGTTCTCTCAACTACAGGGTTCAACTGAAGTGAGGATTCTTCTTCATCTGCAACCTGAGAAGGTCAGATAGATCATGGAGAACGGTGTCAGAAATGTAAATGCAAGATCGTCAAATTTATTACCAAAGAAGATAGTATTACAGTAATAGCTAAATAGCATATTTCAATAACTATTTTAATATGGGGGGAATTTAGATATAAGTAAGGGCTAATCAGATACTTTTAGTGACAGGAACATATAATATTTTCAGGGCTAACTAAAAATGTATCCTGTTTGGCATCTTCAAAAGTGATGCTAGTTTCTTTCATTCACCTTGCAATCTTTCATTGAGTGAAATTATTCAGTTCATTAAAGAGTCACTCAATGAAAGAGAAATGACTGAAAACAAATGGCTCTGAAGATCTTAAATGCCAGTAATTTAGCAATCTCTGTGATTGCATCTAACCTCATTTTCTTGGTCATCTATTATTGGTGTCTCCTGTGTAACATTACAAACATAAAATGAAAATGAAAGCTGGAGACCTAAAGAAATACCGTGAAGTGTGACTTAACCACTCTGAGTTTAGATCGGCTTACTGAGGATGAGGAAGGAGAAGGTGATTTCTACAATTTCATGGACTGACAGAAATTCTGTACTTGACATCTCAATTTTGCACCAAGGAAAGAAACAATGCTCATTTTTAATTACTTTGGGATTTTCAATCACCTAGATAACATCATTGTTCAGAAAAGGAAGGACTAGGACTAGACAGCTTTAAAATATTGGTACTAGCAACTTAAACTTCTTCTCTTATTATTAGCAGAATTAATGAGTTATTTAGGTTTAGTCCTTGTTTAGGTAACATTTTCTGTATGATGCTGAAGATTTTTCAGGATGTTGTTCTTAAGGTCTGCTAAAAAAAATAATGCTGTGAATATTGCTCTTTATTCTTTTGCTATTACATTATTTGTGAAACAATATATATAATATATAAATAATATTTACACAAATACGTAGAAAATTTATTTACTTTTTAAATAAAGCAAATAACTCATGCTAAATCTAGCTGAACTTGCAGATCTTCCCTATTAAATGCTAAAAGAAAGTTATTTTAGTATATATTTACACATTGCATGTAAAACAGTAAAATAAGTACTTTCAAACAAGGTTATTTTTAACTAATCTCTCTGTAAACTCTGGAAACTGTGTACTCTATTTGTCAGTAAATAGTTGAGAATCTCTCCTGTCTGTAATTTCTTGCCTTCTGTTTTGATGATGCATGGGGCTGTGGTGGGTGTATAGGCCATGAAAACATTTGAATGCAAAAAACTAAAAAGCATATAATCAAATAAAGAATCAAGTAAGAAAGAGGAAATATGCTATTGTGGAGCAGGCATGATTTCCCTCTTCTCTAGAAACTAGTTTTCTCAACGGATATAAACAACTATTAAACAAATAAACCCCCATGTTCTCAAAAAAAAACTATTGCCTTGAAGTTTCTCCTCTTTAACCATATTTACGTATTTCTTAATGAGTATTCTAAAAAAAATCTTTGTTTTTCTACCTACTTGTGATTTCTCAAATTAGAGTGTGATAGAAAGAAACTGCAAAAGGAATTCCTCATGCTATGGCATTCAGCTGCAAATTCCACACCAGTGTGTGCAGATATGCACACAGTTATGCACAAGGTCAAATAACACACACAGTAATTTCACATTGAAATACAGAGAATGTTAGTTCCTGTCACAGAGTATTCTAGATGCATAAAAGTAACTGAAGACAATTCCAATGCAATTCAGTGTCTTGGTCTTTTATTGATCTCTAAAAACTGTAGCAGAGAGTACCTGGGGAAAATTCTCATTGCCAAGCAAGCTCTTGCCTCTGTGAAGGGCAATGGACATCTATCAGCTGTACCTGTCTTCTGCTAACTTACCTTTCAGCTGATCAATCCCAAATGCAGTCCTGCCCCTGAAGAAGCTGGAAAGCCAAGATGGCACACAAACAGAGTGGATTTTTGTAGTATGGGATAGCGGCTCCTAGCACACCAGGCAACTGCAGGCTCCGTACTGGGACTCACTGGGAATGGGTAAGAACATACAAGGAATAAGAAAAGTGCCAGGGAAAGATTCTGTGGTGACTCTGGAATTTGCTTGGACTCTAAAATAAAATAAGCTTCAATCAACAGTGGCTAGCCTTGATACTTTCTTTATTACCTAAGGTTCCAGAAATGTAATCTCCAGCCCGGCCTTTAGTATTATGAGTTAGGTTGTTTGAATTAAGCTGTGGACCTACCAGTGAAACTCCAAATGTTTCTGGACAGGAGTGCTACAAAATTGTATGTACTTTTTTTTCTTAGAAAAAATGTGGTAAGTATCAATTAGAACTTGTGTCTCCATGGCACTGTCTGCAATGGTCAAAATGACATATGACCAGTAGAAAAAGTGTCCCTCTACAGAGTCCATATTTATTTATATCTGATGGAGAATGAGACATGGAAATGTCTGTCCCAGGTCCTTCATGAAACTCTGACAGGAATCTCTGTCACAAGATGCACTGCACATACTTCTGTTAAGTGCACACAATTCTGTTTATCACTAAAATGCCTTGCAACTTACATGTTAAGTATATTTAGGTTTCTGCTGAATTGTCAAGACGTAGAAGAGGGAGGAAGATGAACTCTTATGAAAGGCAGAAGAGAAAAATAAGGGCACTACCTTCATTTAATTTTATTCCTTTATTAATATTTGTCTTTGCACTTTCCTATCTGTATTACAATCACTTTCATTTGTGTTCATTCATGTTTTGGTTAAGTCTAACTAAGAGCTCTTGTCATGGATAAAGGAAGCTGTAAGCTTTACAAAAATTCTGGCATCTGGTAGAGGGAGTGGAGACTGGAATTCAGTGGTTAAGGAGTTTGGGGCTAAGCACAGAGGATAACTAGGGGTTGGTTTGTGGTTTTGCAGGGTTTGGGCCTCAATCATAAAAACTTCAACAAGAGAAAAATGTTGAGTATTCACCATTTGCATCTGAATGCATGAATGCAAATGACCTAAGACAGTGTTGCCAACTTCAAATGGAAGAACCAAGTGTGTTTGAAGGAAAGGGTGCATTTACTTTCTCAACCCCATTTACACATTGCTTAATGGAGCAGGTATCAAAGTTGCATCAGGACCAGCTTATAGCACGGGAACCAGGCTCTGAGCAATCTTCTGCTCAGCTTTGCAGGAGTTCACTATACCTCACTCACTAGCGTGGCATCAGAGAGTCATTCCAAAACACGTTAAGCAGCATGACTACTTCTTGATTGTTGCAGGTGTTTGTTCTTTCATCTTCTTCCCAAGGGAACATGATAGGGCAGTGAAGTGTCATCTTTTGATAGAGTTGGTTTGATTATAAAGATTTATGTTGCCTCAGTGTTTTTGATAGAGAAGCTCAAATAAATGTGTCTCACACTTTGAATGAAAGGTCAGGTTTGTAACTGTCCTTATATCCAAGGAAATTAATTTCACAGTCTCAAAGTGGTCTCCGAGAACATTCTGTCTCCTGAACAGACTTTTATGACAGCATTTACCCCTACTGAGGTGGAGAGAGACAGCAAAGGGAATGGTCTGCAGTAACAGATGAGTACAGCTGTCAACACTAAGCTCTGGATGCTTTTTGGCCATCATAGAAAACCCTGCTGAGACAAGAAGGACCAAATCTTGCTTTTGAGTTTTCTGTGGGAAGAGATTGTAGACTGCTGAGGACAGGTCTGATGATACACTCAAAATAAACAGCATGGCTGAGGGCTTTTATTGGAGGTGAATTGTTCTAAGTGGTGAAAAGCCTGGTGACCAAATACAACAGACTCTTGTAGACCAGCCAGGAAGCAAGTGAAGCATGAACAACTGAGTAACATGTCACTGTCTGCCAGCATGGGATGGGGTCTTCTAGCCAATCAAAGCTCACAGAAAGCATTACTCATGGGTAATGCTGTGTCCAAACTTAGCACAATCAAGGAATGTAAAAGGACTTCTAAATTATAGATTCAGTTGATCAATTACAGATGTGACTCAACTAGCTCCAAAGTAGACTGCATTTTGTGCTCCTCAGAAAGCCTTTCCTCACATCATGATTCTTTGCATGGGTTCTGTTTCACACAGCTGTTTTTCATCCTTGGGCTAACTTTGTCCAAGTACAGAGCCAACAAGACAGAAACAGCGTCAAAGTTGTATGGAGTAAGACAGAACAGTGTATCATTTACCTCTTTCTAGTACTTGAGTTTATGCCACCTGATCAGTTTAGCTTGATGATAAAGAAGATCCCAGAGAGATTGTTCTTGAACTACACATGTGAACAGTCCAGTAGTATCTAGCAAGTACTCATCACTGCAAGCCTGCAAGAGAGGACTCCAAGCAACTTAGTACATTCTCCAGCATCCTTCCCTTTCAGAGGAAACAACTTGTTTTCACAGCTGACTATCTCAAGTGTTGTGGGAGGATATGGGAGAATGTGAACATACTAAAAGGAGTCATTTCTATTTACGTAAGTGACATTTAGCCACACAAGCTAAACTTCTCTGTAGGTCAATGGCCAGGCCTGAGATCAAGTAATACTATTTCTTCTATAGAGTAAGTTCTTGCCTGTTGGAACCCAGAGGGGGCTGACATATCATCCGCACCTGAGCTCTGCAATGTCTTAAGTTACTTGATCATAATGAAGACTGAAGATTTAGTGACAGGAACAGTTAAATATAATGAGCCTGTCAGGATATTTTTTCCAATTCTTTTTCATTCTTTACTTTCTTATTCACAGCACAGACAAACTACTGTCTGGTCAAAACAGATTCTGTAGCCTTGCTTTATATTTTGCACATCTTCATTGCAATGGAATAGCAAAAAGTAATTGTATCTGTTTACTAGTGGGTAGTTGCCTCTCCATAACTACTCAGGAATTTTTTCATGGGAAAATATAACTTTCATCAGTAATAAATTATATATTCCAGAAATACTTTTTCTGCACTGTTTTAGGTGTCCATCTCCATTCATGTCATTCAATATATCTCTACCTATACTAAACAGAGGCAATACCTGTTTTCTGCAGATGCCTGACACCAGCAATACAGAATAAGAACAGAATTTCATACACTTCAGAGAAGTTACTATATTGCCTCACAGATTTATTGTTCTTTGAAGAATCAAGAAGCCTACAGACAATGGAGAAAACGTCTCCAAGAGGACATCTGACAAGATTAAAAAAATACACTGACAAGGGCTAGCAGGAAAAGCCCTTGTGTCATTACCATTGTACAAACAAAACAGGAGACACAGGAGTAAATGCCAACTGTCACAGACTACATGGAGCATCTCTAGGAACTGTGCTGAGATCCAAAGTGTTCACCATATCCAAAATGACCACAAAAAGAGGTATGACTGACAAAGAAACACAGTGTGCCGCTGATGAAGCTATAATTCATCATAAGGGATGAAAATGAACTACAGAAGAGCCTCAGGAGATTGACTAAGTACACAAATATTTCACAGAGGAAATTACATTTATGTAAACAAATGTAAAATAATAAGTGAAAATACAATCCTAACTTTGCATACAAATTTAATGATGGCACCAAATTAGCTATTACTAGTAGGGAGTAAGATTTTAAAGATATAATAGGGCAAACATCAAATACCTGTGTTGAATAACAAAAAAAAAGGGAAATGCTATGAATTATTAGGAAATAAACACTGAACATGACAAAAAATGTCGTTATGCCACTGAGTAAAATCAACTGTGTTCATTACGAATACCAAGAGCATGAGTGAAAGTGCATAGCAGAAATCAAAAAGGTAGAGAGAAACCTAGCATGGATAATTCTGAACCAGAAAGTGGTATTCCTATAAAGAAGAGGTAGAATAAATAAGGATTTATAAACCCAGTGTGGAGAGAGATAGGAATATCAAGGGTAGTATGAAGAAGGTGAATAAAGAATCTGTTCTAAAACATCTGGGAGACATCAAGTGACACTCGCAACAAAATGCACTGTATGTACAAATGTGTATATCATTACAGCTTCCTATTTATCAGAAGGACAGCTGCAAACTCTTAAATAATCTTAGACACCAGATGAGCAGTCTTTATGGTACTTGAACCTACTAGCAATACTTTGATGTTTACCACTGACTGAATATTCTTTATGTCTAATGAGACACCTGAGAAACCACACTGTGTTTCTTGACTCTTTGTAGGTACATACAACTTTGGACTATTTTGTGTTGCAAAAAGCATGTGAATGATAAATAGAATGTCATGTTGCTGAGGTCTGCAAACTTAAATTCTCTTCCTCAAAAAACTGGAGTGGCCTCAGGGAACCACCCCTGGCCTGGACTGTCCTCAAAACCATGGCCATGCATTGTTTGGGAGAGTGCTGACTGGTAAAGGACAAGCCCCACTAATAATGCTACAGTATAGATGACCTTTGAAGAGCTGTCAGTCTCTGATGCTGTTTTCTTTCCCAGTACAGATGCAGACGCTGATAGATGAAAACCAAGGGTATGATGCATCTTTGCACAGTCCTGGAGGAGCCAGGGAAGGCTGTGGTGACTGATCACTTCCTTCTTGTGATTCATGGGCCACTTGCTGTTGAACTATTTCAAAAACTCACAGTGCAGAGGTGTTTTCTATTCTTGTTTATGCAGCATGTATCTGCAAGTAACCTGGGACAACAACTGCAGGGGCTCCGTAGATATTTCTGCTTTAAATTAGCGCCATATAGACATCTATCGACAGCCAAAGAATGACAGCAGTGATTCTTTGGAAGCACTGTACAGTCCAGAGCTGTGTGAATGATGTCACTGTGTTTGGAATAATGCCTAAATCACATGAAAAATACTCATGGGCTGTAAGTGCAGCTGAACTTTGCCAGCTTTCATTTCAAGCAGGAGAATCATCTTTGTTTTTCACGGGACTTATCACAGAATCATAGATACATTCACTGGAAGGTATCTCTGGAGGTTTCTAACCCTACTTCCCACTCAACACAACACGGTCAGCCAGGGCTTTGACTATCTGAGCCTTGAAAATTGGAATGGGATTATTTTATCTCCCTGGACTCACTCTCCTGTGCTGCACTATCAGTCTAATAAAGAAGTTTTTCCTCATGTCCATCCTAAATATCTCAGGATATAGGATATTGGGTATTTTCCTAATATCCAATCTAAACCTCCCCAGCACCACTGAAGGCCATTTTGTCTTGTCCTATCACTTGCTACTTGGGAGAAGAGACCAACAGCCACCTTCTTGCTCCATCCTCCTTTAAGATAGTTGTAGAGAGTGATAGGGCTCCCCCAAGCCTCCTTTTCTCAAGGCTAAATCACCCCCATTCCCTCAGCCACTCCCCATGAGACTTTTTCTCTGGACCTTTCAGAAGCTTCTCTGGACCCACTCCAGCACCTCTCCTTCCTTGCCCATCCCATACAGGCTTATAAACAGAAACTAAACAGCACACAAACGCCCACAAATAAATTTGGAAATTAAGTTAACAGAAGATGAGAGAAACAGGACTAGCAAAGCTCTACCAAAAACATGACATAACCATACATCGTATATCTTACGGTCTTCCACAGTGTCATCAAAATCAGAATCTATGAATTTTCTTGGGAAGGTATGATCCGTCACACACTATTTTAGGCCACATACATACATATCCAGAATGTATGGCAAGAGAAAGTAACATCATACATATTTAACAGTATTATTTCTACTCTAGTATTCCAGTAAGTATTTTATGATGGCTAATCCAAAGATTCACACCTATTATAACTGAGTAAGAATTTAGTTTTGCATAGAATTCTTCTTTTAACAACAAAGATACTTCAATCTCAAAACTCATATTTTAAATACATAACCTGTTTATGAAGAAGTTTCTGTGGTTTATGTATAAAAGTTGGCCTAATACCAGTTTATGAAATAATACTAATTATGGCATGAGGAATAATTGTTATTGTAATTAAGTAAAAGTTTATTTTATTAAGTATATTCAGGAAAGTTCACGTAAGAGAAAGGCTTTTGATTCCATCAGCGTTATACTTTTTTGTAAAACTAACTGTATAGCAGAGCCAACACATTACAGTGAGATCAAAATCTATTAGATAAAAGATTTTTTGTCCCAAAATATTTTAGATTTGACATGCAAATACTACTTTTCAGTGCTGAAAACTACCTCTCAGCTAAAACATTAATAATTTTATATCCGTTAAATCAAACACTGAAAGTAGAATAAAGTTGCCATGACTGTAACTGTTCTTATAATAGTGAATTTAAATATTTTAGATGGTAGAGACCTCTGTATAACTGTCTGCATTACTTTCATTCAATACTACTTGCAGTTTCAAGGTATAGCTCCTAAGTTTCTTAATATTTTCCATCAAATAAATTCAGACCATCATTCTAAACAAAGAATGTGTGAAGTGGGGTATTCTCCAAGCATTGTACAAATTGCCAGTCTCTTGACAAGATACCTGATAGCTCTTCAGTGCCAGTACAGTCTGTTCTTACCTGATTCAGAATGACAAATGCCTCTCATTGAGCTTTGAGTATATTTGGTTATACTCTATGAGGCTGTGACTACATAATCACTTTGATAGTTTCAGTACATACCAAGTAGCACATGTGTTGAAAGCTAGATTTGCTCTTGCAAACTAGTCAAAGACCAGCATATTGCTTTCATCAGGGCAAAAAAATAGGACTTAAATCTACAATCCATTCACTAGGAACTGGAAATTTTTCTGAAGAAAAAAAATTGTACACAGAAAATAAGCAACATACTGAAGCCAGAAAAAAAAATTGAATACATCCCTATAATTCAGAAGCCAAGTTTACCGACTATAAATCTGCAGTGAAATGCCTAGAAAACCACACAGCAGTCTTTCAGCCTTGACAGTGCTTTTCCCCCCTTCTGATGCTTCAGCATCAGCAAGCACAGGGCACTGCACAGCTGCTTTGAGTAAAAAATGATATAATTTGTTCACATAATATGTGTTTCACTCAGATTTCTCCCCATCACTGTAGCCATGTCTGTATCATGCCTGCGTTGTTCTTTTTTAATAGTTCTTGAGCTCTATATTCTCCACTGTTTAGCTACAAAATGGCCAGAAGCAGAAATCATGACAACTGAGGCCAAAACTGTCCAAGTTTTTGCTGGATAACTCAGCAGACTCTTGCCCTGCCCTACTGGATGAAAAGCTCTTCTGGTTAATTGAGTTTTCCAGAGTCTGATTGAGCTGTGGATATAGGCGAAAACGTTGTGCTCCCTCCAATGCCATTACCTGGGACAATTACACCAGTAGGCCTTGGCCACCCCTCTGACACACCAAAGCCCATCTCTCATGCATTTACAGCAGAGCACCACATTTTTCCTATACCATGATCTCCCCGGACATGCAAAGGTCTTGTCCTGCCAAGAAGCTGCACTAGAGTTCAAGGGGCAGGACTGGGGCCACAGCACTGCTCTTGCCACCAGTGGGGGATCATCAGTAGGACCTTGTGTGGAGCTTATCACAATATCCACAACACATTAGTGTCTAAAGTAACCTAATGCCACCTTCCACACTGAAATGAAGGAGAATATTCCTCTGCCAAATCCTTCATATTTTGCTCCTGATCCTTTTAAAATCTAGTGTAATCATAAGACATTTCTGCTAATTCATTGCTACAGGTGGTGGAATAAGAGTTTTCTGTGTAGATTATGTTTTGCTGTGAATTTTGCACTGAAATCAGTGCAAATTTCTATACATTCTTTAGTTAGTCATACTTATCTACACCAACAGAGGGAAGGGCTGTGGAAAGGAAAAGGAATGGAGAAGTGCCTAAAAGGCAGGCATCTTCTGGTGATGGAATTCCACCTTTCCCAAATACTCCGCTTCTTAGACAGGATTTTGCTAGTCAAGTGGCAGAAAAGATCAGACATCAAAAGTCTCCAGCACTTGTAAATCTTGCAGTTTTACCATCAGGCTACACCCATACAAAGTTCTCATAAAGATAGTGCTGAATGTGTGTTACAGTCACTCATATTCCCCTGACTCTGCTCAGACATTTATATGGCTCAAAAGACTTTCCTGAACTCATGAATTTGTCCAGGAAAACCTGTCTCTTAAAGCTGAAGAATAAGTACTAAATTTAAAAAAGCAACCTGAATTTTAACAGAACTAGATAAGACCAATGCCTTTTTCTAAAGCATAAGAAGCACTAGCATACCAATTTTACTGCTATGTTCTTCTTGGAGCAACTTTGCCTTACCTTGACATTAGCAAATCCAGATACTAACTTCATTTTAATGATTAAGTTGAAAGGAATCGTTCAGGGATATGATAATCAGTCATTTCTACTCTCTTGACCACACTTCAAGAGATAAAAATGCACTTTTCCTACCATATCACAGAATCATAGAATAGTTAGGACTGGAAAGGACCTTAAGATCATCTAGTTCCAACCCCCTGACATGGGCAGGGACACCTCACACACTAAACCATGTCACCCAAGGCTCTGTCCAACCTGGCCTTGAACACTGCCAGGGATGGAGCATTCACAACCTCCATTCCAGTGCCTTACCACCCTAACAGGAAAGAATTTCCTCCTTATATCCAATCTAAACTTCCCCTGTTTAAGTTTTAACCCATTACCCCTTGTCCTATCACTACAGTCCCTAAGGAAGAGTCCCTTTCCAGCATCCCTATAGGCCTCCTTCAGATACTGGAAGGCTGCTATGAGGTCTCCACGCAGCCTTCTCTTCTCCAGGCTGAACAGCCCCAACTTTCTCAGCCTGTCTTCATAAGGGAGGTGCTCCAGTCCCCTGATCATCCTCGTGGCCCTCCTCTGGACTTGTTCCAACAGTTCCATGTCCTTTTTATGTTGAGGACATCATCATAGAACTGCACTGTTCGGTTTGAATGGGACTAGTTTAAAGCACTGGAATTACCTGTTTTATAAGTTTTCTTTGAGATTCCTTTAGATTAACCTACTGTGATTTTACAAAGGAGAAAGTTGAAGACATGCTTTCCAGCCTGCATAGCCAAACCCAGATCCAAAGGGTCGCATTAGTCTGAGCACCAGCTCAGCCATTACACTTTCACTAGAGCAAAAGGGACAATATTATCATTGGAAAAAAATTATAACATCCCTTTGGAGGACTGATAGCTGCAATAACAATTAAGTTCAGTTTCTTTTTCTGAAACTTCTTAGAAAAAAAAAAAAAAATCTCAGTTTCCAGAACCTAAATTTGCTATCTCTTTTTTCACAGGTTTGTGGGTTGTTTTTTTGTTTGTTTGTTTGTTTGGGATTTTTTAGGAAGAGTAGTTTTTTCTCTTTTTATTTTTAAGAGCAAGATAATTCTCTTACTTGCTTTGGACTCTTGCCATCTGACTCAATTTGCTCTGCTAATTCAACAATACCCAGTAGGTGGCCTCAGTGTATAATGTATTTCTTTACTCTTTTTTTAGTATTTCTGCCTCACTTTTTTCATTGCAACAATTTTATTTTAGCTGGAATCTCCTGGGTTTTATCACTTTTTCAATGTTTCAGCAAAATGTGCATTTTTAATACCAATTCTTTTAACTATTACTCTTTTTGTTGGTGAAAAAAAAAGAAAATTACATTCTAGAGTGCAACTAACAATTTGGAAAAAGAGCATTCAAAATTCATACAGTTCTGCTCTGGTTTAGAGATACCACCCGTATACTTCTGGATTCTCTCTTTACCTGCCATTTTACATTCTTCAGGGCTTAGAGAAACATTGTTTTAGAGAATGTGACATTATCCAGGTCCACACAAACATACTCAAATGGGCTGACAAACACAGCAGATCGTGAGTCTTCAGCTCTGAATCTTCCAAAGAGCTATTGCTGAGTCTTGTGGTTCTCTCACATCTCCATCTTCAGAATTCACCTAACTTTTGAGATACAGTCAGCATCCCCTATGAACAAGGTTGTTTCCTACCTTTGTTAACCTGTGGGAATGCACTTTCAGATAAAAATTCAAAGTAACAGCAAAAGTGTGAAAAGCATTCTTAACTGATTGAAGATCTTAATCATCTTATTTCTTGTTGTCAGAAATGCTTTTTAGTTTCTGGGTAAGCAAGACTACCTGTAGCTAGGATCATTGATACAATGTTCTGGCAGCTTCTTAGATTTTCAAAGACCAGAATAAATTAAACTCAAGTATTCAAGACATTCAAAGTCACTTGTCTGCCCATTATCACAAAATAGAAAATTCTGAGCTCTGCCAGTTAGTGGAGTCACTTCTGTGACATTCTGTCTTGATTAGCCTCCGTATTCACTGTACCTTGTCAAACATCATCCAATAAATCCTGTAACGTTAAGATCAGTTGTAATTTCCACTGTGACCTTCTACACTGAAAGAAGTGCCTGTGTATTTGTGACATGTATTTGCCAACGAAGTATATCTGCCTATCATGGATCTCCCCAAACTTCCTGACCCTATTTTTTTAGATAATTGATATGTAATAGTCTTTGGCAATTGTCAGTAAGCTAGTAAGACAGACAGTCTTATAGTTTCCCTACCATAATGAGGCCTGAAACCAATCTGGCTGGGATCTAGGAAATACGAAGCCTCCAAATATTTCTAGAATTGCCTCACTCACTATAAACTTTTTCAAAAAGGCAGATTGAAATGTCCTATAATAGATGTGACTGTTTGAATCAAGAAGCAGATATTTTTAGATTTGTGTTAACAAGGGCTTCCTAAGGAGAAGTTGGTGCCTAGTCCTATCATACCCTAACACCACTCTCAGCTAAGCTTGGGAATCTTCACTGCCAACAATGTGGCCCCAGTCCTGTCTTCACTTAAGGTTTCATTTACATGGGGCACTAAGAAAAATCTCTAGACAAGACAAATTAACTAGTCAATGTACATAAGTGAGGCTTTATTGCATTTTCATTCAGAAGAAAGGCAGTTTTATTTTACAGTAGGCTAAGATATGGTGACCTACGTTACAATGACTGAGAGCATCAATGTAAAGGTTTAGTGCAACTTAGCATTTGTGCATCAGCTTATTTCAAGACTCCTGAGTGTCCTGATGCAGGCAAGTCCTAAGAAAACAGCATTAGCCAAAACAAAAACTTGGGTTTGCATTTGTCCCCTCCATAGCCTGCTCTGCTACCATGGAGACAGACAGCTCTGTCAGAATCCAGTAATCTCATCTTCAAAGAAACAAAAACATTCTTGGTGAAAGAGCCTGCAAAGCTATACTGGCCCTTAATGTGATCTTGTGCCCGTCACTGAAAACTCACTTCATCACAAAAAGAAACAGAACTATTTCGTGCCACCCTTGTTTTCCTCTCATCCCTTTCTCTAAATGGTAATCAGAGCTTCTAAATTATAAGCTGTTCCAGGGGCAGCACAATTAATCGTTCCTGGACAATGCCCTGCATCTCCTCAGCAGCACTGTCACAGCACTCAGTCTCCTCTCTTGCATCTCTCCTGCTCCGCAGTACAACTCTTTCAACTCTTCTCCACCAAGGCAGGACCCAGAAATACCTTCAGTTCACCCTTGCTAAGGATACTCAGTTCACACCCTTCTTGTCTCCTCTCCATACCTCCTGCCAGTTTGGCTGGGGACTGACAGCACCCTCTCCAGATAGCACTGGAGGACTGGCCAAGCATTGGCTGCCTCTCAGAGCCCACAGTGACTCAATTCTTCCTGCATTCTGCATTTCCCTCAGTTCAACTCTCTTCACTCCTACAACTCTTCTCAAAAAAAAGTATGGAAATGTAACTTCTATGTCCTTCTGCCAAATATTCCTGATGGGATTACCAGCAGGGCAGCCAGAAGACATCCTGGTTAGTATGTCTTCTTGTGGCCAGAAATCAGGCTTCTGAGATGTGAATCCTGGGGTCTCAACCCATGCTAAAACACAACTTTCCCTGTGCTTCCCATGAAGAGACTTCACATCACTCATTTCTTTGCCTGTGTAACACAAACATGAAAACACTTATCAAAAATAATGTTCAGAAAGGTGTTGGGAGTTTAAGACACTGGTTGTATGTTCGGAGACTGCTGTTCTTTATCACTGAAGAAGAAAGAAGAGAGTAGATCTTCTAACTCAGGAACATACTGAAATGAAGAAATTAAAACTGTATTCAAGTACTTGGGGATATTTGTATTTTGGGGATATACACTGAATACTGAACATAATTTAGAGGGAATTCCAACTATTTTTAAAGAGAGAAATAGTGACACATGGAAGTTATTTTCATCTTAGCTGCAGAGACACTGAAGGCAATGCAAATTTAACCCTCAGACTGGGAAGGACAAAACTGCAGTACAGTCCACTTTCATGAGATTTAAATAAGTCTCCTCGACACCACAGATGAGTAGACAAAGCTCGAACAAGCAATCTCAGATCTCAGTTGTGTTCCTTCCAGAAGCTGCTGCCAGAAAATCTCTTATTTCTTACATCCCTGGAGCATTTTATACCTATATGGTTATACATGATTTGGACAGCAATCACGATCACAAGCTCTTTGTTAACATACCTGTGCATAAATTACTGAGCAGTCACTGGTCTGGGCTCATTTTCCACCCAACGCACTGATTTATCCCCATCAATATAGTGATTTAGCTAC